GCTGCCATTCATTTTCCGGACCCAATTCAAGGTGCAGGTTCTCACCTACAAAGCCCTGAACAGTTTGGGACCTGCCTACCTTCATGACCGCATCTCTGTATACAAACCCACACGATCTCTTCAGTCATCAGGAGAGGCCCTGCTCACGCTCCCACCTGCATCGCAAACGCAATTGGTGGGGATCAGAGAGAGGGCCTTTTTGGTGGTGACCCCTCGACTCTGGAACTCACTTCCTAAGGACATCAGGCATGCCCCAACTCTGGCAGTCTTTAGGAGGAGCTTGAAGACGTGGTTGTTCCAGTGCGCCTTCCCGGAATAATGATCCCATAGCACTTTGTCCTCCAAAGCACTTTATATTGTTTTAGGTCTGCTTGTATGTTTCTACAAACCACCCCATCACTTTTTCGCCCATGTCCTGCATCATTTTAGTTACATTTGGCCTACCCATAGATTTTAAAGTGTGTTGTCCTATTGATAATGCTTATCTTATTGTTTTATTGTTTTGTTGCTTTTAAATTGCTTGTATTGTTGTTATTGCTTGTATTGTTGTATTTTGGGCTCGGCCTCATGTAAGCCGCACCGAGTCCCTTGGGGAGATGGTAGCGGGGTACAAATAAAGTGTTATTATTGTTGTTGTTGTTGTTGTTGTTGTAGATGTGGATGAAACGTCAGGAAAGAATGCTTCTGAACATGGCCATACAGCCAGGAAAACTCACAGCAATGCAATGATTCTGGCCATGAAAGCCTTCAACAAGACATGTTTAAAATGTTTTGGTTACATCACATCTGGCACTTCAAAAAGCCGGGAGGCATTATATATGATCTGGGCATTCACAAGTGCATCACCAGGCACATTTCCTCTAGTAAGCAAAGGTGACACAAATCATCCTCAGGAATTAATACTGCAACTCCCAGTTTCCTCCTTCTCCATTCTATCCTTCACTCACCTCCGTTGGGCCTAGCTGCTGGTCCCCGACATACGTTGCACTGAAGTGGTAACTCGACTGGCCAATTGTGCTCATATGGATAGTGTGGGTCACCTGGAGAAAGATGACAAACAACAGCATTCAGCAGCCAAGACTTTTTTCTAAGAAGTATATCCTCCTCTTCTTTGACATGAAGAAGCGTAGAAATATTCTCTTCCCCTTTAAAAAGAGAAAGCTACACATCAACAAGTTACATTAAGAAGGGTCAAAATCACCATGTCTGCAGCTTTCACAATAACAGGAAGGGCAGTGCCAACTTGCTTGTTTTCTTTTTTAAAAATGTTTTGGTTACTTTAGGTATTTTAAAATTCCAAAACATGCAGAAGCATACAAAAAGCTCGGCCTGTCATTGAACATCGAGAAAACCAAAGTGCTCTTCCAGCAGTCACCAGGTAATCCCTCTCCAATGCCAGAGATACAGCTTAATGGTGTAACATTAGAAAATGTTGACCATTTCCGCTCCCTTGGCAGCCACCTCTCCAACCAAAGTCAACATCGACACCGAAATGCAACACCACCTGAGCTCTGCAACTACAGCAGTTTTCCGAATGAAGCAGAGAGTGTTTGACATCTGTAGGGAGACCAAGGTGCTTTTTGATAAAGCTATTGTCCTCCCAACACTGCTCTACGCCTGCGAGACATGGACTGTCTACAGACGTCACATGCAACTCCTGGAACGATTCCATCAGCGC